GATAATAATTCCTAAGGTCTTTGGCTTCGTGGATCAACCCAGTGTAGGCTGGGCTTGCTGACCTTTGAAGCCTTGGTTGGCTGTGTCTTCTCTCTGGAGTTCTTGGCCTCTTAATTCCAGTTGGGAGAGTGATGACTGCAGTTCACAGCCAAAACCAGAGTTAACCATCTTGACATTCTGGGTCCTCCCTGGTACACTGTGTTGAGAAGGGCTCTAATAGAGCCCCCAACCTTTATAATATAGCCCCCTCTAATATAATTAGGTTATACTCTAATATAGCCCCCAACCTAATAACTCCCTCCACCTTTTGGCACAGTGACTGAAATTTCATATTACCAACTGCTTCGTGGATAGGTTTGCTAGATAAAATTCCTTTATTTGCTAAACCTGGCATTCCTATTCCTGGTCATTGGTGCTAATCAGAAGAAGGACTGGAGAGGCACAGTGTGGTTTCCAGGCAGCATTACAGTCCCTTTGAGGTTAGTGGTCATACATTTGAAGTCAGGTCATTCAGCCCGTTTCTGGGTTTTTCTATAGCCACTGTTTAGCTGGGTCAGTGCAGCCGCAGAGTTGATGAAGAATCAGGGTTGTGGTTTAGTCAAACGAGGATGCTGAAGTGGAGAGAGGCAAGGGAGCGATGACGGGCGCTGTGGAATTTAAGATGGAAAGGAAGGAGATACAGACATAGAAGGGGGGATGAGGGACAGTGAAAGCTCTGCCTTGTGGAGAGGGGAGAAGCACTGAGCCTGAGTCCCAGGTGGGTTTTAATTCTACCACTAATGAGCCCCCATGTGATCTTGGGCCAGACGCAAGAGGCTTCCATTTCCTTTTCTCCCTCAGGGGAATGGAGGCCCCGCCTTGCTTACCTCACAAAGCTGTTGAGGGACTCAAAGGAGATAAGGGGTGTAGCCACCTCAAGAGCCACAAAATGGGATATGAATGTGACAGAGTCGCTTTTGTATTTCATAAGTTTGCCTGAGGCCATAGGGAGAGGCGTGTGAGGAAGTAAGGCCCGGGTAGGCCGGCAGCCACTTGCTTAGAATAGGGAGAGACCCTGAGAGGAGCCCTGAGCCCCTGCTCCTGGGTGTTCTCTCCCTGTGGAGAACAACAGCAGGTCTAGACTAAGCATTCTTTGTTTATCTGTTTTCATCCTCACCATACCACTTCTCCCCATTCTACATATAAGCAAACTGAGGTGGGAAAAGACCTTAAATACCAGAACTGGCCCTAAGACTGAGCTCTAGTTCCCTATGTCCTATAATATTCTGAGTTTCCATCCCGAAGGCCCTGAGGCTTGGTCTCTTGCCCTAGGACTCATTATTTCCGGCTCAGTGCACTCTCTTAGCGCCACCCACATTCCACTTCCAGTCCTCACCCACCCTAAGGGTGGCCTTGCCGCTGGAGCTCAGGGACTTTGATTTCTGAATCCTCCCCTGCCAGTGAGCCACCAGGAAATGGGACTGAGTGAGCTGCAGACCCTGTGTACCCGGTACACAGTGGGGGGGACCTGTGTGGGGGGACCAGCCGATCCCCTCCTCTACCCAACCCACCTTGCTGCTCTGTTTGAGCCCAGGCCCAGCACTTGGTAACCAAGTCAACAGGCCTGCCCTCCTGGGGCAGTTTCTAACTACATTTTCCCTGCTGAGAGCTGACCGGAGAGTATAAGGAGACCAGTGGCTGTAGGTCTCTCACAGACCTGTATCTGCCTCTCATCGAGCAGCAGATAGACAGACAACCCAAGCCAGCACCCAGCCAAGCAGCATGGTGAGCAGGGGTCAGGGGCTGGGCACGCTAGTGAGGGTCCTAGTGGACCCAGGCGAGTGGTGTGAGGGATCCCTAGGACTCCAGGTGTTCCCGGGGCTCCTGTGTGCACCGGTGAGATGGGGAGATGGAAAGAGACTTCCATATGTGAGTGTGCCCCCTTAAGTGTGCTGGTACGTGAGAGCACGTGCAGGGGTGGAGGATAGACTGATGGTAACCAGGATGTGGGGCTGAGAGTCTGCTCAGGAGCAGGGCTGCTGAGAGGCTCTGGATCTAGGGGTGGGGAGGATGGAGTAAGCAGCACTGGAACAGGAAGTACAGGCACTTTACAAACCCTGGGCCCCACAGCAGATTCATCGTTGGCCTCTGGTCCTACCTCTCCTGGCTGGCGGGACGCATCCTTGCAGCCCTGCCCAGCCGATGCATCCGATCTGACCCCTTATTTCAACAGAGAGAGTGAGGAGGAGGCGGAGGGAAAGAGAGTGTGCTCCCTCTTATCAAGAGCTGGCTGTGCGTGGGGCTCCTTTGATATCTTTTGCCAGGCTCCCCACCAGAAGGGAGAGAAAAGCAGTGAAGAGCATGGTTGGAGCCAAGCCATTCCCACTCCGAATATTACTGGTTTTGCTCATGACCTTGAGCTACTTGCTTAACCTGAGTGTCAGTTTCCTCTTGTGCAAAATGGCGTCGTGAAAGGACCTACCTACAGGGTTGTCGTGAAGATGAAATGGGATGATGTATGCAGAGCGCTTAGCACAGTGGCTGGCGCCTAATTAATGCTTAGTACAGGGGAACGAAATGATGTAATGACAAAGCCTGCCAGGTGCGAGATCACACTAGTTTTACATTCAAGGAAAGGGCAGTGGAGCAGCTGAAGAGAAGGAACTTGTCTGAGGTCACAGAGGGATGGGGTTTGAGGCTGAATCTAGGTGATTCCAGGGGTTGAGTTCTTTGCCCCAAACCTGTTGCCCCACAGTAAGGGGCATCATTTCTAATATCTCAAGCTTACCCAAGAGGTCAGAGATGCCTTGTGTGGGCCAGCAGTCATGGGGGCCAAGATGGTGTCTGGCTTTGTAGACAGAGCCCGGGGAGGCTGGAAGTTGCAACTGCCAGGGCTGGCCTTGCCAGTAGACTGGTAAACCCTGTCAGTCCTCCCTGTGGGGTATGAGGATTCCTGGAGTCCTTGTGTCCCTAAGCAATCCCCCCAGCTTAATTCATTACCTTCTCTTACTACGACAGCAGGGGTTGGGGAATGGGAGTTGGTGAGGGGACCCAACATGTATGGTGCCGCAACATGTGTCATGCAGTGAGCTAGGCAACTTCTACGCCTTCTTTCATTTAATCCCCATTGTAATTCTAGGAGGGCGTTCTTATTATTGCCCCAGTTCATGGGATGGAGGGAGACCCACAAAGGGGTCAACAGTCTTGCTCAAGGCAAATAGAGAAGTAATGACGATGTATGGTTTAATCCCAGTCCTCTCAAAGTCATCAGACAAGGCCCTTGCATCATATTTTAAAAGCCAGGCAAGTGTTAAATTTATGGAGACAGCATCCTCATTAAAAATTATGAAATATTCCAGGCAGGAAAGTATAAAGAATAATATAATAAACACCTGCTACCCAGCTTAAGAAAGAGAATCCCTCTCCAACTGCATACACCGCCCTTTTCTCCCAGAGAGAACCATTGTTCCAAATTTAGTGTTTAATACTTTCCCTTGCTTTCTTTATTTTTGTAAGACACACATGCTACCAGAATATATAGCAAAATATAAATTTATCTGTAAATGACGCACGACATTATTTTACGAGTTAAAGATCTTTATAAATGGTATCCTGTTGTATGATTCTTCCCTAATTTGCTTTTTTTTTTTTCTGGGAAGAATTTTTTGGTAAGATTCTTCCTTGTAGTTCACCCATTTCAACTTCTGTGCCACTCTTTGTCCATCTTCTCCTGTTGAAGGACATTTAATCGGCTTCTGAGATTGTGGCTCTCCGGCTTCTCTTCTTGTTCACCTGTGTGAGAACTTCTCTAGAGCAAGACCGCCATCAGCACCCCTAGATCTTGCCCATTTTTTTTTCTCCAAAAGAGATGCATCAATTTAGGCTTCGACCAACTGTTTAAGAATTCCCATTTCTCCACACCCTCTACAAGGTTAAGCCTTCAAGCTTGGGGAAAGCTGATGGATGTACTCATTTTGTTTTCAAGGTCTGTGGTAATTACTTCTCAAGCAGAGCAAAAAGGCTTATTCTGGTACCCCACTTACCATGCCGCCCCACATCTGTTAACGTGCGGAAGTCTCCCTTCCCCGCCCAGCGGGCTGCTGGAAGGCGGGGACCGTGCATGAGGTGCTCCGTATCTCCAGTGTCAACACATCAGGCAGAGAGAAGAGGCTCAGAATGTTTGATGAAGCAAGAGGGTCCAGCTTTCTTGATTCTCATGTGGCTCCTCTGGAAGGGCATTGAACTTTCTGATTTCCAGGACCAAGCAGTTCATCCCAGTCCTGCTTTAGGGGCCAAGCGTTCTTTGACCACCAGCCTGGAATCATGTGGGGAAGACCTT